CACCATCACTGAACACCATTGGCTCCCCATCCCGCAGTGGATCAAGTTAAAGATCCTGGTCTTCACATTCAAATCCCTCCACGGCCTTGCCCTATCCCACTTCTGAGACCTCCTGTAACCCGACTGTTCCAACTGTGCCCTCCACTCAGCAAACACTGGCCTGCTTCATATCCTCAGCCCAATCCACCCAATCATTTCAGCCAATCTGTCCCCACTGTCTATAACTCCATCTCGTAGATTCTCTGACTCACCCCCTCCCTTCGTGTCTTTGAAGTTTGCCTTAAGACCAATCTTTCCGACAGCATTTTGGGTCATCTTTTTTCCACCTCCCCACCCCACTCTCCTCATTTCTCTATCCCAGGCTCAGGCTCCCAGTCAGCTATGGAGATGTGTTTAAGACGTTCTCCTGGTGTCCTCCTGACTACATAAATGATAAATGTAAAAATATTGTTGTAAAAAGTTTAGCAATTGTTTTAATATCTTCTCCCCACCTCCTCCAATATTTCTCTAATTGACCAATGCACCAATAAATAAAATTGCATGGAAAGAACATCGTTGGAAAGCAAACACTGAAGATATCAGCCTCTTGCAACAGCAACCTGAACTATTTGAGGTTGAAGAGAGAATAGGAAGTCACTGTGAAACTGTGCTGCAATACTAAAATGTCAAATCTTCTCAATGCTGACAAAAGCAAGAATGCTGGATGTTGATTTCACAATGTTCTCATTTCCCCTTATAATACTTCTTGTGGTTGTGTTTGGTTAGCTGACTGCAGTACATTTGTGTAGTTTGGAACTCGTCTTTCAGAAATATGTTTCCCCAACAACAATTTTTTTAAATTGTAACTTACTTTTTCAAATTCCCCTTTTTCAAATTCCTCATTTATTTTGCTCCCAAGTTGTAAATTTCACCACATAAAAGTGCCACACACACACTGCCTCCACCACTAGTACACTCACCTACTCTAAACTCTGTGCACCTATCACTTCAGGCTTCCATAGGCTTCACTGACTCCCTATCACAGAACAGATTAGCTTCAAGATCCTCAAACTGGTCTACAAATCCCTTCATACCCTGGCATATCCTTACCTCTCTGACCTGCTTACTCCTAACACCACAAACCGCTGCCTTCGCTTGGCTGGCTCCAGCCTCCTGCTTGATCCCCACTCCACCATCAGCGGGCATACTTTCAGTCACTACACCCCAAAACTTTGGAACCTTCTTCAATCCCTCTGCCCTGCCTCCTCCTTTCCCATTTTCAGATCAAGCCCGAAGACCTTCCTCTTCGGCCTTACTTACACTCATCTCTCTCAGGCTCAGCTACTGTTCGTGTCCTACATGAACGGTGCTTGTTGTTGTTATCAGATTGGCAAATTATCCTCCTATCTGGAAGCATATCTTCTGTATCACAAATTTCTAACCACTGAGCTACAGGACTCCACGGAGTGATAAGGACTCCACTGAACTTCCACACGTTTCCAAAGTTACTCAATTATGTAGCATTTACAGTGTCCAGAATTTGGCAAATTCTGAGAGGTTTCAAAGATGTGATTAAGTTCTGTGTCAAATGCAAGGATTATTATGAAAAAATGTGAACACTAGCAGTAGTGTGTGAAGGAGTGAAGTTCTGATTACATTAAGATTTTTATATTGGTGTATGATAGCGATTCAAAATATAAATCATTACAAAATAGCTGAGGCAGCTAAGATCCCACATAGCCTACTTTATACTAAGCAGAAAAATATAAACTGCCAAGTACTGGACCAATATTGCAGTCTTTGCAAAAATTAGGTACAAAATGGAGAGTATATAAAAACTCCTCAACTATCCAGGACCTTGGGACCTCCTCCTGATGTGAAAGACACTACAAATGTAATTCGTTGTTGTTGAGAGAAAAGAAGTCTACAGGGCATAAATTTGGCCAATATTTGATTCCCGTTTACTGTTAATTTCAACAGTAAAAAAATATAAATCATAAAACTGGATACAACTGGAGTTTAAGGTGCTTCCAAATTAAGACTGAATTGAAAGCAAGACCACAATATTCATATTACAAATGGGTTCTGACACTCGTGCATGAGCATCAAACTTGTCATTTGTACTTTGGATCTAAATATCTCCATGATAATGGTTAATATCTTCCCACGCAGATAAGAACATTGAATACAATAATTTGTTTCCAAAGTCCAATTTGAAAGTGAAAGACTAGATTGCTTCATTTACTAATGAATGGGGGCGGGGAAGTGGGGAAACCTACGTCCTGATAAACTTTAGGTCAATGTACCCTGTTCTAAAAACATCTTTTTATATAATAATAATATTAATTCATATAGCATTTGATACAGCAGCTATAATATCCAGCATCTCAAAGAGCTTCACGGGAAAGTTGCTGTTTAGTGCAAGTGACTGGGTATTTGTAGACACACATGCTAATCAATATGTGTACAACAATAGCTTATGAACAGCCATGAAGGGAGTGACCAATTTATCTGCAGGAATGTTGGTCAGGACACCAGGAAATACCCTTCTCTTTTCCAACAGTATCATTGGATGTTAAACTGAGGTCCTGTCTGCCTGTTCAGATGAATGTTAAAAATCCCATGGCACTATTCAAAAAGAGAAGGGAGTTTTTCCTGGTGTCCTAGCCACCAATTCCCCCCAAAATTGGGAACTCATTCCATAGCTGTTTGTGGGACATTGCTATGTCACCCATACTAAACTCTGCACGGCCATCATCCCGATCCTCATTAGGTTCCACTAGCTCCCTATCTGCTATAAGCTCAATTTTAAGGTGCCACTCTCACCTACACACCCTAGCCTGTCATTATCCCTCCGATCTTCTGCGCTACTCCTTCATTCGCCCCCTTCACTCAACTAATTTGACTGTGGAGTCCTGTAGCTCAGTGGTTAGAGCACTCGCTTTGCAAGTGATAGACCTGAGTTCAATTCCAGGCAGAGGGCGAAACCTTGGGCAAGTTTCCTTACTCCACACGCCTAATAATAATCCCTCCAAAAACCAAAAACAATAATAAATTGGTCATTTTTAATCTACGACTGTTTGTGGGACATTGCTGTGCGCAATTGGCTGCCGCGTTCGCCCACAAATATACAGTCAATTCACTTTACAGTGTGTTCTGTGAAGCGCTTTGGGACGTCCTCCCGACGTGAAAAGCGCTATATCAAATGCAAGGATTATTATTATTATTATTATTATATAATTTGGGTTTGTTGCCCATCCCAGCCCTCTCTGTACCTTCCTATGGAACTCCCTCTCTTTATCTCTCCATCTTACATCTTGTCATTCTGTCTTAAGTCTGACTTCAAAATCTTTTCAAAAAGTTTACATTTGCCTGCCTCCCACCCCTTCTTTGTTGCTCAAGTATCCAAAACCTTGTAAAGAGACTTCATCTTACATTAAGAGCACTATATAAAACCAAATTGTGGTTGACCCTCTTATAGCAAATCAAATGGCAATTGAGACAGTCACATGCAGAAAATTGCAACAGAAAAGCGCTGTTTGAACTTCAATCTTATGTCTATCTGGCATCACTTGGAAGAAGCAGAAGACTGAATCTAAAGAGACCATGCGGAAGGTTTTCTTAAATTAACTGCTGGTTAGCTGCGTTTTTCACGCCAATTAGAACTAATGAATGTCTGGGAGTCATGGACTCCATCTCGTGATAGTCATGAGAATTCAGCTCACCGAAAAAACACACACACAAAAAAGCTCTGAGTAATTCCAATGCACTTCACCATTGCTACCAAACATCAGGGCCAGCTCCAAACGTTGGTAAGTGATTGCTGCTCATTATTGGTTCAAGCAAATTAGTTTAGTAAGATTTACTTTTACTTTTAATTCAATAAAATAATTGTACTGTGTACAAAATAATGTTTGCAGCTGTTTTATGAGTGGGTGATTCCAAATGTTATATAAATGTAATAGGCATTTTATTACTTTTAATTTAAAATAATAACTTGTGGGCATACAATTAACTGAGTGCTGTTGTAATGTTCACAGCAATAATATTATTTACATTTAGACTATGTAGCATCTTTCACATCAGGAGGAGATCTGAAAGTGTTTAATACTGCTTGCTGGGTGCTAGATCTGGGGGTGGGAGCTGAAGAGGATGGGGAAGCAAAGATGACTGAAAAAGTGCTTAAACAGGTACAACTTGAGACGGATCTTGAATGAGGTGAGAGAGGGTTGCGAGATGGAGGGACTTTGGGATGGATCTCCAGAAAGCAGGGGCAGAATAACTGAAAGCCTGTTAGCTAACGATAGGACAGGTGGGATGGGGGACATAAAGCAGGCTACTGTTTGCTGAGTGGGCAGGTCAGTAGGGTTGAAGGAGGTTGAGGAGGTAGGATGGGTGAGATCATGGACGGATTTATCGATGAAAATGTGAATCTTGAATTCAATCCGTTGGGGGATGGGAAGTCAATGCAGCTAAGCGAGGATGAGGTTAATAAGCTTACAGTGCCTGAGCGGGAGAGGACACAGGCTATAGAGTTCTCAATAGTCTTCAGCCTGTGTAGGCAACAGCTGAGTAGCCCGGCGAGCAGCAAGTTTGCATAATCAAGCCAGAATATGCTGAATGCATGGATTAGAGTCTCTGGGGCCCAAGGGGAGAGGTAGTAGAAAAAGCAGACAATGAAGGTGAGGAAAAGTTGGTGAGGAAAAGAGCGGGTAACAGCACGGATGTGGAATAGATAGCCAGATTAATGTTGGAAGAAATTTTAGTTAAAAAAAATTAAAAATTGGTCACTCAATCCACGACTGTTTGTGGGATACTGCTGTGGGTAATTGGCTGCTGCGTTTCGCCCACAAAATATTCAGTCAATTCACTTTACAGTATATTCTGTGAAGTGCTTTGAAACCTCTCGAAGACGTGATAAGGCACTATATTAAATGTAAGGATAATTAGTATTTTCATTAACGTGAAATGTAACGTGTTTGTGCGTTTCTTGCTCTGTCACCCCCCACCCTAGTTAACTGATACTAAACTGCAAAAATGCCAAAACAAGATTTCACTCTGCAAGGAGTTTTTGGTCTTGGAAGAGATGGCCCTTACCTCAGAGCAGAAGAGTAAGTATTTGGACATAAATGTATACATAACACTTCCCTTCCCTCCTCTAATCGAGCATTAAACTGTGTTGCTCTAAATTTAATGAAGATTATAACAGTGGTTGCTTAGACATGGTCATCATTATCCATTCACCATTTTAATAATCCTCTAAACTTGGTTTAAATATCAAGCGGTGCAACGCTCAACTAAAATCTGATTTTGTTTATTTGCATGTCAAAGCGAACTCTCAAACCTTTTTAACACTGGAAACTTGGGAGGATATACTGTTCTTTGTCAAAGAGAATGCATATTTAGATTTTTTTAAAAATCCTATCTATTGCTTTTATATAACTTTACCTCGATTCTAAATGCAAATTAAAAACTATTGGTACTAGAAGTAACTCAAGCAAATATGGTATTAAATCCAGTGGGGTGAAATCACAGCACTTTGTTGCAAAACAGCTCATGTTTTGTCTTTGATTTGAAGCCTGGTATGTAGAACTGAAAAAACAGGGTAAGTATTGAATGAGACCCCCTACAAGCTCATCTTGAAATCTCTCCTGTTCATGTATACATGATGATCCAGACTCATAGATTCAGTGTAAGGTGATCATACCAACTTAAAGCAGCCAATATCTGTCAGAGTTCTCTAAAGTTATGCACCTGGAATCATCACTGGTAAATAAATGAAGGTCATTACAGACAAATTGTAGGTGCTGCATAATGGAAGTAAAAATAAGAGACACATTTTCTCTAATGGATGGCATAGAAATTGCCATTGGGATTGAGCATTGAAGGAGACCTATGACGTTAGTCCAATTGTTACTCATCATGTCCAAAGAAGGGAAGCCAGGAATAAACACAGAAGCTGGGCTACAGTGCCAAATCAGTTTAGTTCAGAAGCTGTACATTGCTCTGCTAAAGTTGACCTTAAATTTTGCTTGCAATTCTAGTAATTGTGACAAATGGAGCTGCCCAGGCCATAAAAGAAAGAGTCAAGCTCTAATCCCAGAATGTCATTAGTGACTTTGACCAGGGCTGTTTCCGTGCTGTGGGCAGCAGGATAAGAGGGCACAGGTTAAGGATTGTGATGGTCAATTTTAGCTCAGACACCACAGAATATTTATTTACACTGAGGTTAATGAACAACTGGAATAGTTTACTGGGAATGATGGTTGTAGCCATAACACAGCTTGATCCTCTAATGGGATGACAGTAGTGTTGATTGAGATCAAATGGGCATCCAATTTTCTCTTGTGATCTTGTGACCAATCCATAAATTAGACTAGAGGTGGAAAGTACACTGGTCACAAGTGAAATTATCTCAACAGCAACATAGCTTCAAGCCATTCTAACCACTTTGACTGTATTCAGCACTCCATTTATAAGCATTTGTGGTAGAAGCCAATAGAGGTTTGTTCATTGCATGTTGTCCTATTTTGCATCTGCTTAACCAGTCAACTGGAGGTAATGGGATAAAAATCTCCAGAGTCTGTCTGCACCCCAGGCTATAACACGGTTACCAAACAATTTCAATAATGATTTTACTCAGGAATTAATCTGGAGTTGTTGATTAAATATTCACAAACAAATATACATAGCCACTGGATAGAAAAACATGTGAAGCACTTTGAGATATGTTGACATAATAAACGCTACATCAATTACATATTATCTATTATTAAAGAGTTTTTAATCTTTTTGAGGGGAAGGGTAGAAATCTTTGATATTCTGTTACAGAAAGTGCCCTTGTTAGTGCACTTGTCCTGACAAGAGACCTATTTTAAATTATATTTTGAATTAATTATACTCCGCAGTTGCCAAATTGCAGGCAACTTATATAATTTCATATGAGTGAATATGCCTTAAAATTGTAAGCTAAACTTCAAATAGCTGATTAGGAAATATGAATTACTAGAGATAACATAACATCGTGGACAGACTCATGCTGGTATGCTGAATATCCTTAAATTGAAGCACATGAAAACTGGTTTATCTCTTCTGGGTAAATTAATGTTTCAGGTCTGAATATGTCTCCACCATACACACACACACTTGCATGACCAGAGAAGAGCAAAAAAAAATTGGTTACTTCAATCCACGACTGTTTGTGGGACACTGCTGTGCTCAATTGGCTGCCGCATTTCGCCCACAAATAGTAAATTCACTTTACAGTATATTCTGTGAAGCGCTTTGAGATGTCTAGAAGATATGAAAAGCGCTATCTCAAATGCAAGGATTATTTATCTATCTCTGAATCCTTGTTACGAGATTCTCAGTTAAATTATTCCTTTTCCGTGACTTGTTTAGCAAGCTTGAGTATTGTCTCATTGAATTCATTATCAGCAGGGGAGCGTTCTCAATCAGTATGAGGCTCCAGTCATTCCTTGAATAAGTGGCTGGAAATTCAGGGTCCATTCGATTGGATTCAGTAATTGGGATGCTTACACTCTGAGATAAATATGGATGAAGTTCAAGATTAATACATTTAAATTATTGTTGACCTTTTTCTTTTGCAGGGCTATTGGCATTGGTCTTCTTGTTCTAATCCTTGCAATTCTGCTGATAATCGGATGCTGGTACTACAAAAGACGTAATGGATATATGATGCTTCAGGTAATATATGTTTTATATTACATTTGATACTACAGTCGAGTATCTGTTCTGTTTGACTAAAAGCAGCTGCGGATTCTGTTCAAGAATGTGCAAAAGAGCCTAGTGCATTCTTTCTATCACTGGACAGAAATGACTAATTTCTTCATTTTACCCATATTTCCCTGATCCTTTCCACAACTTCCAGGACAGTAAAACTTACCTGCTTCATTCTTTTCCCTCTGAAAACTCTAGGCTTATCATCTTTTAACTACTTCTAGACTCTTCTGACATTTCATGTTTAATTGCAACTCTTTCAAACCTTGATGGTACGCAGCCTTTTGACTATGGCTTCAATAAAAATAATTGCAAGGAGGTGGTATTTACAGTGCTCAGGGCCCTGCTGGTGACCCCGTCATTTATAAACTTGCTGTTTGATGTCCCTATACAGCTTCCCTATCTGTGTGAATGGTCACAAAATTGCAGTGCATTACTTCTATTGTTGCTCTCCAGTGAAATACATCAAGGCCTATTTTAAGGACATGGGGATGGAAAACAACTTGCATTTATATAGGACCCTTCACCCAGGGTAGCATCCCGGATAGCTTGATATTATTCATACAGCAAATAGGCTCTAAAACTATGGAACCCATTTCTTACATAGGTCCTATTATTATTGGTTATTATTTTCTTCTTTGTGACCTGCAATTGTCATGTAACGGGTCCAAAACAAATCAGAAATTATAAACATACATCTAGGCCTTATTGGTGACCATTTGATGGTTCATAGCTCTCTGGCATGTAGCAGAGGGGTTTTCTTTGGCCCATTTGTGACATCCAGATCCAACCAGTGAGATGAAATTGTGGTAAATGGGGAAAGCGGCTGGTTAAACTCCAGCAGTACCCCAACATAACTAACACTTTCTGGAATTAGTTAAGATGAGTGTTTCCCTCCAAGGATAGAGTCTGCAATCCATTTCCGCACAACAGAAATTACCATGTATAAAACTGTCTGGTTTCATACAAGCACGTTGATGAATTTCCCTGTGTGTAAGGCACCTGGCCCTAGATAAAAAACCTTCTCACCCCCCAGGTTGGTAAAACCGTTATCCATTGTTAAAATGAATTACTTACTCAAAAAGATAACTAGCCTTAATCACTGATCTGTGCAAAGTTAGTTACTCATCTGGGACAGTGGCAGCACTGTGTTTTTAGGTAGTAATACCATTACCAAGTGTGAAACTCAACCAGAATGACTTAAAAAATGTCCTGAGCTGAGACCATAACATTTAAATAGCATGAGCTTCATGGACCAAATGTCCTCCTTTTGTGCTAATTTCTATAACTTAAGTTTTGCTGCCTTTGTAGATCCAGCTACTGTAAAGTGGCACCAATTATGCTTCTGTAATCCAAGGTGGAAAACACACACAGGGAAGAATTTAAATTGCAATATGTTCTCAGGTGAAACGTTTGTTTGCAGAACCAACTCATGTCGGACAATGCCATCAGATCGTTGGTGGTACCCAGCAACCACAATCAAGAAGCAACCACTCTGGAACCCAAAGCCCTTCTGAATGAGTACACTGATCTGAATCTGGTAAATTGGTAACTTTTCTTTCCAATTCACCTGATGAATGAATTTATATTCTTCCACAGAAACTATTTACTTTATAATGAAGTCTAAAATGGGGTATTCTCAAACATCGTGCAAAAAGGCAAATTTGTTGACAAAAATTCACAAAAAAAATTGAGACTTTGAATCCCAGTAAATGCAATTTTGTAGCAGGTGATTTACTTTTTGACCTTTCGTCAGACATGGGAGTCTTTTCTCACACTTCTTTTGCAAATTCTTCAGTGAATTTGTTGGCAAATCCTGCAACTTCATTTACAAATCAGAAGTCACTTTTAGTGCAGAAATCAGGTTTACAAATCACTTGTGCAAAATAAACTGTGCATTTTCTAGGGACATTGCAAATCGATAATATTATGCACAATATGAGAAATGGTACACTTTATCCTGCCAGAGGAGACTCCTTTCACGATCTTGTGAATATGCAGTACGTGGTTACAAATAATTGGAGTCTACTAATCATATTCTATGAAGGAAGTTTTGTATGGATTCTCAAGAGAATTAAAATCATTCTATCAGCGATGGATGGGTTGTAAGCATGTACTGTGCTTAATCTGCAGGATTCTTTCAAAATCTGAGATGAGTGAAAAACCTTTTATCACAAAAGAGAAACATGCCTCCCTCACGTTTTAAGTCTTTTCATATGTCCAGCTCACATATTTATCAGTTAAATCAGTTGTATGGTATTATTATAATACATTGTAACAACTTAAGTAGTCGTGTTTTATAAATGGTTTAGTCATGTATGTATGAGTTTAGCTGTGCAATAGTTTCCATTATTGTTTTGCATTAATAATCTACTTGCCAAATCCTACATTTATGCTAATTAACAATGGCTATACATCAATTGCAAAAGACAACATTTAACCTAGCAGTATAACAAATTGATTTAGTCTCTGATCATTTAATTTACAATTTAATTTCTTCTCTTAACAGACTCCAGATGCCCCTCCTGCTTATGAGAAAAATACTCCAGAACTATTGCCTCCACCATACTCACCTTAAATTGTCAATGGGCACTAATCCAACACAGCCTTCATTACAATTTTAAGTGTCCTACAGCTTAATAGTAGATATATTATTGTTAAACAATATTCTCGACTCTTCCCACGCCACTCTACATCTGTGTATGCTAAAATAAACCTAAATCAAGTAAATGTTTTACTGATTTGCACATTACTTAGTCTATGGTGACTTTCGACAATGGGATTTGTTAACATACTTCATTGCAGACAAGGGTACCAAGAAGGCTGACTTTTACGAAAATTTTGCAAATTTTATGAAACTTCAGCGAATTCCAGCTCTGAATTAATGTGCTTACTCACAAACTAGGAACAAAAGTGATAGATATAGCATTATTAAACTAAGTGGCAACCAATAGTTTCCTCGAACCTGGTTAACTAGATAGAAAATACAAAGTTGAGGACCGTTTTGTATTGTTAATGCAAATTATCCATTGATTATGGGTGACATCTCAGCAAGTTTGCTTTGCTTTATTATATTACATTGTCGCTGACGTTGAGTGGACAATCAAGGCCATCCTTTCTCTTCAAATAAAATGGTTTAACAGATCATTTAAACTGTCGAGATTTTACTGGAAATTATGGAGAAATTGACTGGAGTACAGCAATAGTTTTAGTTGTACTTAAGTCAGTTTTTTTTAAAAAAATTGTGAATGGGATGCATGCTAACATATTAAATCTAGAAGCAAAGCCTTCACTTGAATTCCCCTGCTGAACATCTTAATTTATACATCCAAGTCCAATATCCAGTAAACATCTAGGTCTCACACACTGTAGTATGACATTGACATGCATCTACAATTGTCTTCTACTTGTTGCATTCAGAAGTCTTTCTGCGCTAGGGTGAATTAAATTAGTTTGGCATCAACCAGCAGAAGTCACAAGCCCTAGGTACAAGAGGGAAATCAAATCAAAGCAAGCCTGAAAATAATTGGGTTGTACAGTGCATTTGAGGTTGATTTCTATCTGGAAATCAGATTCATCAAGCACCAAATATTGGGATGAAAGTTCCTAACAGTTCTAGGTGAAATTATCTTGAGAAGTCTCCACCAAGTTCCAAGTCACCGTGAGCTCACCAACAAAACGTTCCCAATTTGGCATCTCATAAATGACTGGAATCAAATGAAACAATTTACTAGAGAGCAGTAGGAGGTGCACTTCTGAGTGAAGAAACATTATTACAACAAAGGTTGCTGAGTTGTATCAGACGACAGAAGAGCAAACAAAACCAACTGCAAAACCAAAACTGCTTGAACTAAAATAGTGAGAGAAAATTGTGTTTATGACAGCACAGCAGAAAACAATTGTCAGCTTTCAAATGTAGATGTTCCTTTTTTTAAAATAAGACACTAGGATGTCTTGATCACCTGTAATCCTTTCCTTTGGGTTAGTTACATAATAATTACTATTATTCCCTTGGTATGTAAACTTGCATATGGTTAGCACAACCCGCAAATCAGACTTTGTTACTTTATGATTAGCTGCAGAAAGTATACATCTATTCAGCATTTGTCTCCAGTGGTGCCAAGATAAGAAAAGTAGCGAGAATATAGCCGAGCAGCAAACTGTCTGTGTCAGAACAGTACCTTCAGAGTTGATCCACTGCAATTTATTATAATATGATCCTTGCATTTGAAATAGTGCTTTATCACTTCGAGATGTCACAAATCGCTTCACAGAATATACTGTAAAGTGAATTGATTATATATATTGTGGGTGAAAGGCGGCAGCCAATTGCGCACAGCAGTGTCCCACAAACAGTTGTGGATTGAGTGACCAAATTATTATTATTTTTATTTATGAAGGGTTTATTTCCCCCAGAAAAGCAATCCGCCAATCAACTTACAAACAAGTTCTTACTTACTGCTAGGTAAACATAGGTGTATAAAGGAAACGTGCCTAATGATTTGCCCTGCTTGGGAATCAAACCCAGGTCCTTTCGCTTGCGAGGAAAATGAGCTATATTATTTACAAGGTTCAATCAATGAATACACAATTTTTATCTGGTATCATTATATTTTTATCAAATCTGATGGGCACTCCTTGGCAAAAAAATTTCCTATATGCCATGCTCAGCACATTTCATTGACTGGTTTCCTGTACCTAAGTGCAGGCACTTCTGGAGATACTGCATTTACACGATTAAAAGTACAGCTTTGTCATAAGCTTTAGCAACCTTTCTCCAATATTCAACTATTAAGGAAACAAGGGATATACATAACCCAACCTACCAAATAGTTGAACTGTATGTTACCGATTATTTCTACAGAATTAATTCTGAATAGAATTAAAATTGATAAAAAATGTTAGAATAAAACAATGTACGAGGCACATAAATAACAATTGCACACATTTTTAATCATGCAGACTTTTCTGCATTTTCCTAAACACTGGTCCTTAAAAGCTACTAAATGGCTTAAAAACCTATACATTATATAAACAAGAAACAAATAAATTAGCAAAATGTTTTGTACATTCACTTTAGTACAACTTGCTGGGGTTCAAAAGTATTTACAACTGTACAACAGACTGCAGAAGTTTTCTATGTTAAATATTTAAAAAAGAAAGCAATAGCATATAAACAAGTCTTATGTTCATTTTTCTGGACTACACATTTCTTAAAAATCACATAAGTACAATATTGTAGCATACCAAAGATGTAGACATTGATACAGGTGGTGCTGTAAATGTGCAAGAAGCTTTGAGTGCACAAGAAGCAATAACTAAAATTGCTATGCTTTTCTTGAAATTATAAACTGAGGGAAATTTACAAGTCCTTTCAAATGTGCTGCCTTACAGTTTTCAACATTGTTTCTGTACACTGAACTACACAGATCTCACGGGTACGACACAAAAAAAGCATCCTTTCAACATGAAATTAACAATGGTAAACAAACTAAATAAATATTTGTGCCTCTCAGACATCTCAACAGCTTTATTTTAAACCTAGGTCACAACTTTCTAAAACCAAGGCATAATCAAAGAATGGATGCAGTTCCTTTCAAGGTTCTCAGTCCCCATAGTTTGGATATGTGCTGGGTGTCATTTAAGCTTTGGAAGCTGCTGAAACAGTTCTAGAAGGGTCGAGTACTTCAGATGCTTTATATGTAGAGAAGACTGCAGCAGAACTTGTGCTTAGACTCCCTGAAACTTGGGTCAGAGAAGATGGAGACACCACATTTGCAATGGGATTAACCACAGTATTAATAGAATTTAAAACTGCACCCTCAGGGCTCACTAGCAATTTACTGAAGGAAGTGCCTAATGGAAGAACTGTAGAACTCCCTGACATAGGGTTTGTAGTACTCTGGATTGTAGGAGCTTGGACTTTGTCTACTGTAGTCTGAAGTGAAGGTCTTGCCACAGGGACATTGATCATTGTTGATGATGTTGCAAGCTGAACAGATTTAGAAACTGCCACTGCTTGTGCCCCACTCTGAACACACATGTTTTGATGCAACTTTTCGGGTGGAAGAACACAAGGAGGCAGAGTGGACAAAGAACGGTCTGCTCCACCAGACATGGCAACGCCCTTCTGGCATGCAGATGTAACATCAGTTCCTGCCTGAGATCCTGGATTGAGATTTACTGATTGGGTTGTATTCGGTTTTAGTGTATTGGAAATCAACAGGACATGACTACCAGATCCAAGGCCCTGTGGTGGAACAACAAATCTATGATTGTTAATGACTATCTGAGTTCCTGGAGCCAAGGGGGTACTCGTATTGATGACTATTTTCTGCCGTATGCAAGATTCATTTAATGGTTCGGAAACTTTGGTGACAGAAGTTGGTATTGTACCTGCAGGATACATCAAAGCTGAAGCTGCAGGGACCGTATTAGTCGTTATCGGAGGTTTTGTCATGTTGTGTACCATTGTTGGACGTGCTTTTGTTGACCCTAAACCTGCAGCACACATTAGATTGGAGGAAGCTGGTGCACTCAGACGAGGAGTTCCCTGCACAGATGGAAACCTTGCAACTGTATTTGTTAGTGATGGACCTGTGGTGTTTGGATTCTGAAATCGAATAACTGTTTGACTGCTGTCTTTCATAACAAGTGCGTTTTGTGGGGGGAAAGATGTACCTATTGTGTGAGTGCTCGCTGGTACCATCTTTGAACTGACTGTGATTGGGTTTGGTAAAGCAGTTGTGATTGGTAACGAGAGAGGAGTCGGTGACTGTTGTGAGTTCTTTGGCTGTGCAGATGCAAAAAGGACCGAGGAAGCAAGATGCTCTGCTTTCACTGTAGAAATAGCAAAAGGAAGCCGATTTAATGTTCCCCGATTAGTCCCAGGCACGCTTTCGTTTCCCTTAAGCACAACCGTGGGAAGTGAACCAAATGTTGCAAAAGTAGTCGTTGAAGGAGTTGCACCTGTAGCAGTTGTCACTGTGTATGGATTTCTCACGCACATTCGGATTCCTGTCGTAAAAGATGAAACACTTTGATTTCCTATTGCAACGGAAGGGACTGCTACTGAACTGCAAATACAAGTTGCTGGTAATACTATATTCTTTGCAGATAACCTTTCTCCCCCTTTTGCAGATGTATTTGGCACAACACTGATTCCTGGGGCTTTCTGGATGCTGTTTCTCACAACCTGGCTGGGATTTGATCCTTTAGGAGCAACCTTTACCTGAGGTGCCGAAACAGCCTTAATTGGGGAATCGCCGGTGTAGGGCACAAGCATTAACTGGCATTGCTCTGTGTTTTTCAGTGATATCTGTGTTGTGTTCGATGGTGTATGCTGGAATTGGGGCGACTTTGTTGATAATGTTAAAGTGGGCGATGTGGGTATTGCAGTTACTGTTGGATTCACAAAGACTAACTTTTGAGGTTGAGCAGTTGTACATGTCAAAGGAGCTGTCATGCTGACTGGACTTGTGTTACAGGGAGCAACAACAGAGGGATTATTAACCAACAAAAGTTTGGGTATTGTAGTTGCGCTCAAGAAAGTGCTCCCTACAGGCTTACTGCGTTCTGGCTGGGTCAAGAATAGTTGCTTTCCGCTTGCGGTATCAAGTGAGATTTGCAACGTTGGCGCTTGAGTCCCTGCTACCTTATTTTGGACCAGGCCTTCAGTTGATAATGCACACGAAGGACCAGCTGTTAAATTCATGGTGTTATAAGTACTGCTGTGCATGGTCATGTTTGAACTCTCTGAAGCAGTTGACAATCCAGAAGGAATAGGCCTGTGTACAGATGCATTTACCAGTTGTACAGCTCCTCTCGGATTTACTGACTTGCAAGGTCCCACTACTTTAATTCCTTCCCCAGTCAATTGTTTTAGGCCCAATGGAACTGATGGAATGGGACTGGAAACTGGAACTTGAGAAAAATTTGTCAAGGAAGATTGTCCTGGAACAAGAAGAGATGGCAATGACGAGGGCGATGTAGTCTTTGACAAAACAAAATTCTGAACATCTGGTAAAAAAGTAAATATTGGCCTTGGAGTAACAGCATTAGGTGAGGTTTGGTCACAGTTGTTTCGAACCTGAACAACACCTGTGTTACCACCACGTGTCATAACTAAAATAGACTGAGAGTCCCTTATGCACACGGTTTTAAGTTCTTGCTTTGTTTCAGTTGACTCAATCAGCTGCTGTGGCTTGAAGGTCTGAGCTGAACTAGTACTGCTCACTGGCCTGGGTATATTTACTGCCTGAATAGCTACTGGTTGACCACATCTTGTATTTGAGCTAGTAACCGAAGATGCCATAACTTGAGGTGTTTCCATCCTACCCTGTGGTACTATGGTTGCTGATGATGCCAAAAAGTTACATGGCGTGGATGATGATACGGCTGTTATTGGGCGACTAAGAGAGCTTGTTACTGCTCCTATACTGGCAATGCCCCTACTCTGTATTAAATTAGCTGTCTGTAATTGAGCTTTAAAAGCTGATGGAGCCTGAAGGTCTGCTGAAGGAGACTGACATATATTAACAGTTTGAAAGCCAAGTGAAGTTTGTTTTTCCGTATCCCTTAGTGCCTTTGGTTGACTTTCTTTTTCAACCAATTTGCTGTCTTGCCGCTGGGCTAGGAAGTTTTTGGGCACAATGAGTACTTGCTGCATAATCCTCTCTCCAGTCTTCGGGTCAATAATAGGTTGCATTGCAAGCTTAATCTGACTGTTACTGAGATCGATTGGCACACAGGATCCATCGGGCAATTTGTAAAGCATCTGCAAAGGGGCTTTTGTAGAAACAAGTGCTGGTAATGGAGATTTTGCTGGACTTGACTGCAACGTAACTGGATTTTTTTCTTGAGAGTTGGCCACCTCCTCACTCACAGAGGAGGACATCTGATTGGTTAAGGTCACTTTGTTCCCGTTATGTTTTGCGAGTAAGGCTTGAATGGGTTTGGTCCCTTTCTGTACAGTTGATCTGGATACGTTCGTCACTTCTCCTCTAAAAGTCTCTGGTTTGATGCACCGTTCAGCTGGTTTGCTTGAGTTACCTGGTTCAGCTGGAAGCTCTACCCCTGGAGATTTTAATTCAATCGGTTGGTTTCTAGACTCTGAGCCAAATGCGACGTCCCCTGCGTTATGGTCTGCAGTAGTTTCACTTGTGCTTAGTTTGGTCTTTTTTCTAGGAAAAGGTTCTTTCCAACATTCATCAGGATCATTACACTGTTTAGTTTGCCGTTTAAGATTCTTAGAAACTTGTCTCGCTGTTTCTTTGCTGGAACTTTCTCTTCTTATAGGTCTTGCTCTTCCTGTAGATAGCTCCATGTCTAACTGCATTATGTCATCTGAAAGATATCAAATAGGTTTAATGATAAATATGAATGGAATTTAAGCACACTTTTAGTCCTGACATCAATCATAAATAACTTGCATAGTGTACAGTAAAGTAGATAAGCATCAGATTACATTTATGTCGTCATACCAACTCCTATTAGTCTTAAGAGAACAGGCTCCACTGAAATGATAGTCATTGTTTTACCCAATTAAAAGGATACAAGATGGCAAAAAAAAATGTTCATTAGTATTTTCTCCTTATGTTTAGCAAACGGGAGGGTGGCGGAGGAATGCCAGTGTGCTTACCACTTAGAAGGTAAGAAAGAGAATACATGATGAATACAACTTATATAGCACTGCAATGGCTAATTTTTTTTAAAAAAGTTACCCATTTCTGAGTACTCTCTCTTCATCAAATCAGGAAGGTCTGCAAATGTAGGGGACCCAGTTTCATTTGGAGACACATCTTTCATAAGCTCTCCATCCAGTTCCTCAATCGGCCAGGTTTCTCGAACAAACACATCATGATCAGGCTGTTTCTTAAAATCATCAAAGTCTTTCTTCATTCGAGCCCTAGAAAAGAAAGAAATCATTTATAAATCCTGTTATTTGTGCAAGTTGATTCCTGACTGGCAGTATACACAAAGACTTTATATTGCTCTTGAAGTATGATCTGTTAACCTATTAAGCATTCAGTCAAATTCACCTAATGTGTTGTACTGGGTTAATTTCTATTCCCTAATCCCACTCTAACTCAGTCCTCCTGTACACCCAATACTACCACCTGTTTTTCTCCTGCCAAGATGCAGATCTCTATTAAACTCCTCATTTGGTTTGATTAAAAACAAGTGTTTATAAAGAATATGATAAACTTGAATGATTGAAATTCTTTGTAATGGGAGTATTATTATTTGAACAACACGTGCTTTTACCATTAGGGTAATGATTCAGAGAATTTGCTGACAATAGCATAAAGGAGCTGAACTAACATCAAATTGTTACCATTAACAACTGGCAGTTTCAGCTGTGTGTACCGTGATTCAATTCCCTCATAGTTCTTAGCTCATTAGTTCCCCAAAGTCATTCTTCAATTATATCATCTTGATTCAAACAAAAGATATACAGGGGAAAACTCGCAAGAGTTCTGATCACTTTACCTGGTTGGTTATGCCAACGGACTAATCATCTCATTCCAATAGTGAGCCTCTATTTAACACCTATGCAATGCTCACTGCCTGCCAGATACCACCTGAATAGCACACTGGAAACTATTGCTACTTATCATTGTTAATAATCCTTGCATTTGATATAACGGCTTTCACATTAGAGAATGTCTTCAAAGCACTTCACAGGATATACTGCAAAGTGTTGTGACTGCATTTTGCAGGCAATGCTTGAACGTTAGGACTGAGGTGCCAACATCCCAAATGAAAATTGCTATTTTTAAATTAAGTGGATTTTAAATAAAGCACCTCCTGAAATTGTTTCTCACCTTATCAAATTTTTTTTTAGCTCAAGTATATTAAATACCACAAAAAGTCTATTTTCCACAAATAATCACACATTCAATAAATAGAAATACTTAAGTCTGGTGTAGGTATTTTATTCATAGGCCTAAACAAGCTTCTCATCATATACTTTTTCCTTGCTAAGTATTGTCATGCTTAAAAACATCAATGGCTCAGTGGATAAAACACCAACGCATGAACCACTGTTTTCTGCTAAAAAGTGTGCTTGCGGAAAATGGTTTAGGCTGGCTGTCGTGCCCATTGTTTAAAAGCCCATCCACACTCGCTAACTAAGTTTCTTGGGACCTCCTCCCGACTTGAAAGGCACTTTACAAATGTAATTTTGTTGTTTGTTGTTGTAGGTTCACCAATGAAGAATGATCACTTGAACGAGGTACTAGAGGGGCGGCCGTGGAACCGTATCACATCTGAGGTAAAAGGAAAAACAGCCTTGTAAACTGATTACCTATTTCTCAGGTATGCCTTGATCAACTTTTGTTCCCACGGCAACAATTCATTTAACAATCGTCCCAATGTATTATGTAGCTCTTTTACAGCTTGTCTTCGGTAAAACCATTTCTCCTGTGGTTTAAAAACAAAAATAAAAACAAACAATATCTGTATATACCAACAAAGTAATACCAACAACTGATCAGAATATAGCATTCCATCACAATTACAGCCGACTCCCAAGTTTGGTCATCTATGTACCTGCAGATGTCTATGAAAGTGCTGCGTTGTTACTAAGTTTGACTCTCAATAATCTGTGGTACTGTACACAAGACTTTGTTATTCAAAATAGAACTATGCATGAAACATTTGCAAGAACTTCTCCAGAGGCCTAATGGATAAAGGTCTTGGCCTAAATTCGCATAAACTTGGCCAGAGCAGCTTCAACTTGTATTCATTTTATCAATCTCAAAGAGTGAAAGGCCAATTGCATTCACTGTGATTCAAAATGCAGAACATTTATGTGTCGACTTAGTTACCAAGGATACATAGAAAACCCTGATTTAATTCATATAGTACAACAGAAATAATTTATCACAATGAAAACAGAAGACAACATGCAGAAAAACGGTGCTTTATATATGAAGTTACAAAAGTTACACACAAAGTTATCTTTAAGTGCTACAACTGAAGTTCGTAATCAACACGCAAAGGATATTCTGGGTTTGATACAGTACCAGTGCTCATGGAAATTAATAATAATCATAAATAATCCTTACATTTGATATAACGTTTTTCAGATTAGGAGGATGTCCTAAAGCATTGCACAGGATATATTTTAAAGTGGAGTGGCACAACAAAGGATTTGTGGATCTTGAAAACGTCCACTCGAGTTAATACTATTATTTGCATGTAACACAGTTTTGGCTGTCTCTAATAACATCCACAACGGATTTGGAATTAAATGGAAAATTATTCGGAGAAATATGTTGCATGGCACAACTGAATTTTTAAATCTCACGCTGACCTACTTATACGATTCACTCCAATACAATGACCACACAACAAAAAAATCATTTTCCACAATCTAATTTGAAGTAGAACTTTCAAAAAGATTTGGAAAAAGTTTTGACCTATGGTTAAGGCCAGGGAAAATTGGCTACTTACAGATTTCTTCTTATTAGTTTCCATTTCTTTGAGCTCCACATCCATTTTGGCAATGAGTTCCCTGAGTTCATCAAGACTAGTGCAAACAAGCTATAGGAAAAAATACTTAATTTTGTTATTGTTCCATGAATAATCAAGTTCCTAGCCAAACCCCAAAACACTGCTCGTTTCTTTAATAATAATCAGTAAAGATATAACATTTTGTATGCATATTTTCTCAGGCACGAATGGGAAGAAAAGTCTAAGATGCAATTGCGAATCATGTTGTTTGGAGTCAATCCATATGAACAGGGATATGATGGACAGCGAGCAGTGCAAATAGTCTTTTGGAAGGAAAATAAGTGTTAATGTGAAGCAAGCAACAGCTCTCTCTCTCTGCCTTGCTCGAACTGCACAATTCATAGAATCGGAAAGTTGGCAGGATTCTATGGATGACGCATTAGGAGAAAGGTAAACTTTTTCACATCAACACTTATACTTTCCTGGTTTTGTGCAATCAATTCCTGCAGCCACAAAAATTGGGGTAGGGGTGGAAAGAAGGATGTTATATAACTGAAGCTTCATGTAATGTTGCATAAAACCACCAAGACAATGAGAAAGTAAGCTTTTGAGGAAACAAAGGTGTGACATCATTGCTCAGGACAGTGATACAGAATTTATGTACAAAGGCATATTGGGATTGTATTGTTTTCAATATAAGGAATCTACATTTGTGATTACTGCCAGTGTCCGCTTGTGTCTGCCGCTGCAGATAAAGTAACATTTGACTCAATGCGGCATTAGTGCAGCATTGTACTTCACCCAGTTGCCTCACCTTACAACCCCTGCCCCGTGCTTTGATCCACACTAGCGGGGCAATCAGTCCTTGATAAACACAATTAAATTGTATGCCTGGAAAAGTATGCAAATTGATGTGCAGAACCTAGTTTCTCAAACTAAATAATGGGAGCAGATCACTGAGAGCTCTCTTAAGAGTTTGTCAAAGGTTCAAAGCACATGCACCTCTTCCCCCGCGCTCCCCAGACACACACCTTCTCTCTGTCAACAGCATCATTTTGCAGGCAGAATAATTGGTGTGGGCCAGTTTAAGGCCAGTACAGTAAAAGTAATTCACCCGCCAACAAGATTTGTTTTCGTTTGGGGTGTGGTGTGTCACATGGAGACTTAATTCCATTGCCACAAAAATACACCCTAAAGGTTTCAAGTTTAAACATTCATTTGTGGATTATTCTTATTGCTGGTACACACACCTGAAACTGTGGGGTTGTAGGCAGTGGTGGTGGCATCACTTTTTTCTTTTTTTCATCCGTCTTTTCGGAATCTGGCTTCTTTCCTGGGAAGATCGACAAAAGCAAGAACATTCAGCTAACCGGAGCTCTCAATTTCTACGATATACATTTTTAGTCACAAATTATTCCTGTAAATATAATGATAGGATCAAAGTTTCCAACAACAGTTTACATTTATATAACACCTTGCACAATATGAGGATGTCTCAAAGTGCTTTACATAGCTGATTGGAAAGCTGACCTTGGGGATGTGGGGTCAAGGTGATCGAAAGACAGGCCTTCAGCTGAGCTTTAAAGGTGGAAAGGGAGTGGGATACATGAATGGATTCCAGGATAGAGTTCCAGAGGGAGGGGTTTGGAGAGGAAGAGAGATAAGCTGAAAGCTCAGATCAGGACTGAGGACATGAATTAGGCTATGCAGAAGGAGAAGCCATGGTGGTGGGGTTGAAGAAATCGCAGAGATGGGGAGGGGTGAGGTCATGGAGACACACATACTTCCTAACAACCAGAAAGACTAATTATAAAATGTCTAGAATATTCCGGCATCCATCGTACATAAAAATGAAGACTCGTTTGCATAATTTAATTAAATGATACAGATACACACAGTGCATTTTCCAAAAGAAAATGATTGAAACAAACACTTATACAAGAAAACAATTTGCACTGATTGTAAAACCTACCATCTCTGTGATTACCTTCGGACTCTGTAATTAAAAATCCAGTGGAAAACCACCGACCGATTCTGTCTTCGTAATTACAACAGCCTCAGTTAGACCGGAACTATGATTTCTCTGTGAGAGAGTACTTAATCGTGTAGTGTTAATATTGTCGCTGCATGTGCCCAAGATGAACAAGAAGTCAGGTAGAACTTGTCCACATTCAGGGGACAGATTTGGGACACTGATATAGTGCCTTTCACATAGGAAGAACAACTTAAAGCATGATTAATTGGAGAAAGTTAAGGTTTTTCCAGGACTCGGACGTCAAATAGGTAGTCTGTCAGAACAGTAATGAAGTTGAGGTTAATAATAATAATCCTTGCATTTGATATACCTTATCATGTATTTGAGACATCTCAAAGCACTTCACAGAATATACTGTAAAAGGAATTGACTGTATATTTTGTGGGCAAAATGCGGCAGCCAATTGCGCACAGCAGTGTCCCACAAACAGTCGTGGATTGAGTGACCAAATTTTTTTTGGGGTTTGTATTTGAAAGAATTATTCCCCCAGAAAAGCGATCCGCCAATCGACTAATAACCGGGTTCCTATTTACTGCAAGGTAAACAGAGGTGTGTAGAGTCAGGTAACTTTCCCAATGTTTCTCCCTGCCCGGGAATCGAACCCAGGTCCTCTCGCTTGCAAGGTGAGAGCGCTGACCACTACGCTACAGGACTCCACAGATGATGAAATGAGAAGCTGTGCAAGGCTGCAGGCGGTCCAGTAGAGGCAGAAAGACAGGGTTAGATACCAATGTAAATATGGAAGTGGCAGCAGAAAATGTCACCTAGGAGAAGCATGTTGATTAGGTAAACAAGGGGACAGAGGATACTCTGGGGCATGTGAGAATGCAAGGGCAGGAGGAAAAGCCATAATAAATGAGACAAAGCTAAAACACTGGGATTGTTAAACCAGAAAGTGCAGAGCTATGAAGATGTACCAGGAGCAGAGATGGTGGAGAGGGATGGAGTGATCTACAGTGTGAAAAGGAGAGAGATTGAGGAGGATAAGGAGGTAGTCCTGATCACCGCAAATAAGAAAGGATGGTGTGTGCGACTCTGATCAAGGCTGTTTTGGTGCTGTGGGCAAGCCAGAAGCCAGAGTGATGCATTCATATAGGGAATGATGGGCGAGGAAGGAATGGAACTTGGAGGTGATAACGCATTCCAGCACCTTGGAGAAGTACAAATTAGAGATGGGACTCTAAGTGAAGAAAACACAAAATACTGCAGATGCTGGACTCTGAAACAAAAACAGAGAGAGCTGGGAAAACTCAGCAGGTCAGGCAGCACCCATGGGGAAAGGAAAGTGAGTCAATGTTTCGGGTCCACGACCCTTCGTCAGAACTCAAGTGAAGAGTTTATTTTCAACAAGGTGGGTAGTGACAATGTTTAGGAAAGGAGAGTATCGTGCCGAAGATTGATAACACAGGTTTGCAACAACAACAACTTGCATTTATAATGTACTTTTCAACATGAGGTAGCGATCGGAGGAGAGGAGTGAGAAGCAGCAGCAGGGCAGACGACAGCTGTGTGGGAATGGGAGCAGGGGGTGGCTTTCTTATAGCAGTGGACGGAGGAAAGATGAAGGCGAAGATGTTCCTATATAAGAATCAAATGGTGGCAATAATTCATCCCCAGATGTTGATATCAAAGCCATAAGAATGAGTAAATAATAATAAAAATCTTGTCATTTGATATACTGCGTTTCATGTCAGGACATCTCAAATTGTTTCACAAGATATACTGTGAAGTGTTGTGACTGCATTTAGTAGGCGAACACAGCAGCTAATATGCTCACAGCAATGTGCTACAAACAGCCATGAAATGAAAAGAATACCAGGACAGCAGGAGAAACTCGATTCTCTTTTCGAATAGTGCCATGGATTCTTTAAAGTCTACCTGAACAGGCATGCAAGACCTCGGTTTAATGTCTCATCTGAAGGACGGCACCTCCAACAATGCAGCATGCCCTCCAGCATTGCACTGGAGTGTCAGCCTTGCTGAATAGTCTGCAGTTTGTACTGGTGACTGCTATTAGTATCTTTCATAACGTCTGGACATGCAGCTGGCCAAAAATATTAACTGCCTGGTTCTTTGCCGTATCATACTATGTAACTCTGTTTTGTTTTAATTTATAAAAACAAATTTAATCAACTTCAAACAAGTATTTTCACTGTAAAGGAAAACAGGGAAGCAATAGAAAGTGCAGTACTCAATACACATCCTCTGATGCCCTAGTCACACATGCAGATGGACTATTTTGCCACCTGCTGGGTTAAAATGAACACTGCAGAATTAGATCTCTTTATTGCCCAACTTAAACTCTGCATTTATTTTTATTACTGTACATTCTGTTCAAGGTTGTTCTATACAAAAATACCTGATTAATGACCAGGTTATTTAGTTTACAACTAAAACAGTTCATCTGCTTTTGTGTTTCCACCCTGGAATTTACAAAACAACAACAAAGTTGCATTTATACAGGGCCTCTCACATTGGGAGGATGACCCAAGGCGCTGGAAATACCCCTATATCTTTGGCACCTCATGTGAATAGCTGAAAATCAAGAGCCACACTAAAACATTACTGTAACTACACTACTAAAAGTCTGATTATTTAACTGACAATAGAAAAAAATGGTTTGAACATTTAAGAAAACATTTGTTGTCCATCTGCTGTTCAATCTTATAAAGCAAAAACGTTTCTACCTGACAAATATGTCAGTTTACTAATGGGAGCTATGTTATTTCCTGCCTCTAGACCATTTAAAGTGATTTTCATACAAATATGACTTTGCTTCAGCACCACTGATCCAAAATTTCTCTAACAAATCACTACAGCATTAAGTAGGCCTGCAAATCACATGTAATGTGCTTAAATATTTGAAATATATTGAATTTCCTAGTTATCTAATACTGCTTTATCCTAAGGAATTCCCCCTCCCATTTTCTCACTTTCTGTCTGATGCTGATATATAAGGTGTCCACAAAGTCCTCTTATGCCATTACAAAAAAGTGATATGAGACTACGGAGAAGCTGAAGCAAGCTGTTAAAGATGCATTTCACTTGTCACTCCATCCATGCTATGGAAGATGTTGCACTGAACAAGGTGGCGGATCATTATCTGCCATTAAAATGATGGCGCTCACATACATCGATTCTCTGGACGTCTAAATACAGTTAAACATTTGTACTGAATACAATTAAGCACTTCTAAATACAATTTTCATCATTCTTACACGTGTTTTAGTTATTGGTTAGTACACTGAAGCAGGAAAAAAAGTGTGGGAACAGGACTTGTACTACTATTTCATGCTTGCCGTTAGTACTTCAGTATCTGAAACAAGTGGCCATTCTTCAAGTATAATCCTTGATAATGTCAATAAGTTATTCCACCACAATTGAGCTCGACACAGTTATTTCCAGATGTCTACAAACAGATGTATGCACTGCAGTTTCTGAGGTAAAAAATACGCAACAGGTAGCAATGAAGTGTGGGAACCCTGGCTGACTCATTTATCTCCCAAGCTCTATCCATTATGCTGCAACCAGTAACATTTCCACTGTAGTGAAAATGAGATCAGCGCAAATATTTCTGACATATGCTTTGCTAATCACTGGGCTGGTATTGAAATACGAGCAATGGTCAGGAGCAAAGTCATCTGATATTCAGGCACATCTTCCAATTTTCAATGTCATCGTTTGGTGTGACTGCAAATACAAGTCTCTGATGTTTACGTGATACATTGACATTATCTCGCTACTTGTATTATTTTCATTATTATTACTATTGTAAGTGTTACTTGGATGATGAAACGTTCTTTGGAATGCACTGAACTGAACACACCCGCCCTCTCCTCCGCCCATTCAGAAGTGCGGAATGAAAGTCTGCAAAGTGAAAACTTAGCGATTGAGTATCAGCACCTGCACTTTACTGCCGCAGCAATAATAGCCACTGCAAAACACCAAAAAGGCTCGACTGGACACTAACTTTAAGCAATGCAAATTCCAGTGATGTCATCTTAACCAGGTCTCCGTTTCAAGCTGAATCAGTCAATTTTAATATGAATTATTCATTTATCTATGCAATAATTCACAGAGACATACATCATTTGTTAAAGATCAACGTGGATTCGCAGGTGTAATGTATGCACTGCTGGGGCAACTCAAATGAATATCTAAATAAATATCAAATTCAATGGTCTGTCCTCTATATCTATATTCTTTACCTGCGCAATTTATATGAAAGATAGGCGCAGTTGCAGACAACGAATGCACCAGACTCATTTGCCAGGCATTCAAGTTTTTTTAATAAAAATACTTCAAACTATTTAAATTTGTTAATTTAATTTACTTTTGGAAAAGAAAGTATCTTAAAGGGGAAAAAGAGATATCACTAACCAGATTTGTGCTTTTTGTGTTTTGTTTTCTTTATCAGTAACGACTTATTCTTGATTCCTGACTTCTGAATCTTTGATGGATTTTGACAAACCATGCCTGACCTTGACTGTGAATCTTTCAGTTTCTTTTTCTTCTTCTTCTTTTTCTTCACATGCAGTTTTACCATATCAAGATCCTCGGTTTTTCCCAAGAAATGTTTTGTGGAAATATTATTTATTTTACCAACCAGGCAGCTTACATCAAGAATTTCAGTATGGCTTCCATTAACAAGCGCTTTGCAGCTTTTGATTGCTTTTTCTTTCAATGGTCTCATACCTTTCCTTAGTCCGGGGTCATCAGTGCAGAATTCCCCATTCTCCGTTATCCTAATCTCTCCTGGGCTGAGAGGCTCTCCGTATCCTAGAACTTCTCCAGGACTTGCAGGTTTCACCACGTTTTCCTTACAAGAGCCACCATTTTCCTTCTTCACACCAGAAGTTCTATGGTTTTTACATTCACAGTTTAATTTTATTTCTTCTTTACCTTCTTGAGAAACAAACTGGGTGTCAGATTCCACCTTTACACTGAAATCTTCTCTATCACTGGAGGTAACACCTTTATTGGCTTTCTTACAGCAATGTGTTCTTTTGCCAGGAGAAGTATTTCGGGCCTCCTTTTTGACATCTTTTGGGTGGCATTGTGACAGCACACCACTTTTGACTTCCCCCGATGCCCATTGTGACGTCCTGTATATTTTGATAGGCGGAATAGGAAATTGTGGGGGTGGAAGAGGAGATTGTTTGTAAATTCTCAAGTCTGCACCACAGAACTGTGGGAAATGGACATAGGCATTCTCGTGAGAATCATACCCAAGCACCACCTCCCTGCATTCATGGATGGGCTGGCCTAAAACTGCATCTTGTACCTCTTTCTGGGTTTCATACACATAATCACTCAAGCCCTTTAGCAACCAAACACGCTTGTAAAAGTTTAGCTCGTGGAAAGCTTTGACCTCCAAAGGACTAGTTTCTCCAAGGACCTGAAAAAACTGAGGACTAAGGCCAAGTTTCTCAGCCTGCAGATTGGGATTTTCTGCATGGCTAACCATTACATACCAATGTTGGACTCTTTGTTTCAGAGCCACCTCCCACATTTTGTAAGACAAAGGTGGCCTCCGGTGTAAAGTTGCTCGGCGATGGTGAGGGCCCAGTAAAGACGTCATTATCTTAGCAAGGAAAGAACTGCACTGTGGCAGTAGAAGGCAGCGTTCAAGATCAAAATAAACAATTTCGGGTAAATTAAGGATCTGCTGAGCCAAACAAAGGAAATGACCAATGGATGGGATTTCCCATAGTGTTTCCATGCGATTGGGCTCAGCCTGGGCTCGCAGGTTCTTTTCCCATTCTTCTATCTCCTTTTGGACAGCCTCTTCTGCCTCCTTCCTTTCTTGTTCACGTAATCTAGAAATGCAGAAACACCCACATTATATAAATAAACTAATGGAGATTGCTACTCATCTACAAAACAAGTTTCTTACAATCATTTCACTTACTGGTCAAGGAGTGAAAATACAAACTAAAGATTCTAAGGATTTTTAAAAAACTCCTGGTTCCTAACCTACATACCATTTTGCATTTCCATCAAGATAACATTGAGGATTTGTATTACACTTGGATGTGCAATCCCTTAAGGAATTCAAAGCAATATTCGCTCGCGGCAACAATATTTGATCAGTATTCGGATTACACTCCCAAAGCGAGTTTTAAAAAATTACATTTGCCTGCCTACTTATGAATGAAAACTGCCACAGTGGAATTATTTAGAAGATACAAAACAAAGCTCAGTAGTTTAGAAATAAAGTATATAATGCACATACACAGAATATATCTATCAAATACACAGAAGCCGTAATGCATCAGTGTTATATTTTTCATTAAACCAGAGAACCCCATTGTGTATATTTAATGCAATTACTGAAGGTAATAAGGTGAGATACAAACCAACAAGAAAATTTTAAGCAGAAAAATTGAGCGCGTAACAGAAAGAGCTTATAAATGGCACCTTATCACATCATCAAAAGATCTAAGGCTTCACAGAATTCATTTTAAAATGTAGTAAACGTTTATTTGTAGGCAAATGTGGCAGCCAATTTACACCCAGCAATGACCCACAAACAGGCATGAAGTCAATGCCCAATTTTACCTGGGAGATTGTTAGCCAGGACACAAGGAGAACCTCCCTTCTCTTTTTGAATGGGATGGTCTATGGAATCTTGAACATCTACCTGAACAGATAGACGGGACCTCTATTTAGCATTGAAGAGTCATCTTAGAACAGGGATGGCCAACTTGCAGCCCGAAGACCTCAGACACTCACATAACTATTTTACGCATGAGTAATGCAGCTCAAAGGCCACAAGTTGGCCAACTCTGGTTTAGAATATGAGCTTATGTTCCCAATATGGTTACTTGAACTCATAACCTTCGGACTCAGAAACGAGAGTGCTTCCAACTAAGCCAGACTGACACTTTTAAACAAAGCAAACAGGATGTTAAGCTACTCTGCCAAATCACTTCTTTCCAGATCTCCAGTAGAGTCCTCTGGTTTGGCTGAACCTGGAGGAGTGTGTATCATTCCAGCCACCACAATATGCTTGGGCTTCACAGGTATATAGTTGTGCAATTAGAGCAGGAATGACTGTAACAGACTATCAGAAAGTGTAGTTTCGAAGTCTGTGGTGCTCGCTGCACAGGGTAATGGGGTGCACAATGCTGGGTCTAGGGAGCACAAGGCACGGGGCTGAGGACACGGGCTGAGGACATGGGGGTGGGGGTACGGGGGCCTCTCCTGTAACAAGACGACATAGGGTGGGTATTCTGAAGGGCCTTCTTATCCAAACCTCTCTTGTGACGTGAACCCAACTATTTGCAGTATTGCAATGAAAAGTACAAAACTAAGAAATAAATGAAAGTAGACTAAGCAAAATCTTTACGGTGGAGTGGAATGCCCGGTGAAGTAGATCACTCATTACCAGCGACACTGGATGTGAATATTTGTGCACTTCAAGCTGTGTCATTTAAATTTAAATGTCAAAAGCTGCCAAGCACTTAAAAATGCACAACAAATAAATCTCATCTACATTGAGTCTACAAGCATGGCAGAATTGGTTCAGTGTGGGTTTTGTAATTAACATTTAATATCTATAGTCAGAAAACCACCAATGAATAAACTGATAGGGCACTCCCTTCCTAGAAGCTACTTCCACTCATGGCCAAGTTGTCAAGAGAAGATGTAAAACTTTTGTGGACAACAACAGCTTCACTTACTTTGCCATCGTCTATTTTGTTTTTAAATCAGAAAATCTGTTTCAGAAATTCAACTGTAGGACTCTGAAAGGCATGCACGATGAACATCACTGTCAAAAAGTTTATGGATTGAAGTTTTAGTTTTAATTTGAAATTAGAAATTTATAATTACCCATATACTTGATTATATAACATTTTTTCTGTGTCAATTTTCCAAATCTTACATGCTTCACGCAAATAATTTAAACACATAATAAAATCAAGAGCCTAGGTTCAGAAAACAGTGCATTAGCTCTGAATAGTACTATTTACAAATTTATACAGCGCCTTTTACGTAGTAACATCACTTCTGTACATTATTGCAGTATCAACTGCTTCCACATTCAAAACCACATTTATCATTTTTATTTTAAATGTGATAATTTTTGAAGCGTACACTATAAATGTATATGTGTAAAGGAAGGAACTTGTCATTGGATAGTTTATGAGACAAGTCTGAGTTCATTGAGAAAATTTGCTTTTGAATGTAGATATTGTAATGTATGGAAGTGGTGTTACTACAAACAGAACATGTGTTTTTAAAGTGTATTGTAGTGCTACATTTTGCAAATGCCGTTTGCGATGTTAGTGAAAATAGAGTAAACCTCTAACATCTTCTGTGTATACAGTGGAAGTCACTTCGGTTGGATGACAGTTAACCCCAGATACCGGTTAAATAGGACAAGACACCCGACCCATTAGTACTCTTACCCGTTTTAAATATGCCGGTTAATTTGTATAAAAATCTGATTAATTCGGACAAAATGCCGCACTGGTCGCCGCTGTGTTTACTCACTCACCACAAGCGGCTCTGGGATGGAGATGGGAGGAGTCACGTTGTGAATGATTGACAGCAGACTCCAGACATTCACAAGCAGGTAAAGACTGTAAATCAGTGAAGGGCGGAGGAACAGGAATGGCAATGGGAGGGAGGAGGCACCACTGCAGCTCCTCTGCTGGGTGGGAAGAACTTTGATTCGCCATGGACGCCGCTTAAGCTCTGATGTGTCCGGCTTAAGCGGCTTCCAGTGTATTTAGATTTAAATACGTAGCTTTCTATTGAATAATCCCAGTAACTTGTTTTCCTTATTCATAGAACTTCACATAGCTTTATTTGGCAACATATCCTCTATATCTCAGTGGGTTTTTTTAAATTAGAAAAAGCTTTCCAATTTTATAATGTATTGATACCAATGAGACTAACAAACAGGAAAACTGCAAATGGGATTTTGGATTCTAATTGAGAAAAAGACTCCATTACAAATAACAATGCTTCAGTTTCTTTCCTTATTAGTAAGACTGAGCTCAATTTACAGCAAACCGCGCAGAAATTCCATTAGCAATATTTATTCAGTTGTACCAACTACAGCCTTACTCAAACAGCACATACAATCAATTGTGGACTTCAGATGATTATGCTATAATTTTTAAAAAATCAAAGCTGTCAATCAAGCCACTATACGTATATAAAAAATATCTAGCAGTCAGAGGAATCAATAGCAGTCTAAGATACAATACAATTTTACATGTATATAGAGCCTTTCACGGCAGGAGGATGCCCCAAAGATAGGGTGGGGGCAAATGGGGGAAATGGCCAATAGTGTGGTCAAAGAGGAAGGTCTTGAGGCAGACCTTGAAGGAAATGAGAGTAGGGAGCAAGTCAAAGGGATGAAATTTCAGAGAGTCAGAGCGGATACACTGAAAGTCGACCTCCTATGGTGGGGTGGGCAGGGCAGGTGACATGAAGCAGGCTGGTGTCCATTGAGCGGAGGGAGGAATTAAACGCTTTTTAAAATTTTATTTTGTGGGAGACTGAAGAGTGATTCCAGGCGTTTCCTCCTCGTCCTCTCTGCTGCCTTCGATACCTTGGACCACTCCATCCTCCTCCACCAGCTTTCCCCTCATCTCAACCTTCAAGGTTCTGTCCTTGAATGGTTCAGGTCTTATCTCTCACATCATCTCCAATTTGTCTCTGCCAACAGTTTCTCTTCCAGCCCCCGCACAGTCTTGTGTGGTGTTCCTCAGGGCTCTGTCCTCGGTCCCCTCCTCTTCAACCTCTACATGCTCCCCCTCGGTGACATCATCCGCAGACATGGGGTCAACTTCCACATGTATGCGGATGACACCCAACTCTATCTCTGCCTCCACCATCGATGCCAGGACAACTGATGTCCTGACAGACCGTCTGTTGGACACCAAGTCCTGGATGAGAGCCAACTTTCTACAGATGAATGTCAACAAGACCGAGGCCCTCCTGATTGGCTTACGCCAGCGCCTCTGCATCTCAGCCATCGGCAGCATCAACATCCACGGATGCACACCCCACCTCACCAAGCCAGTCAGGAACCTTGGCGTTTCGTTCGACCCTCAACTGTCCCTTCTCCCTCATATCCATGCCATGACCCGCTCTGTCTTCCCCTACCTCCGCAATATTGTCCGACTCCACCACTGCCTTAACCCTCAAGCCGCCAAAACCCTCGTACACGCCTTTGTCACCGCAAGCTCGACTATGGAATCTCCCTCCTTGTCGACCTCCCCAACTCTTCCCTCCACAAGATGCAGATCATCCAGAACTCTGCAGCTTGTGTCCTCTCTCGCACCAGTCTCCATGACCCCCCATCACCCCCACCCTCGCCCGGCTCCACTGGCTCCCCATCCTTCAGAGGATAGAATTCAAAATCCTTGTCCCCACTTTCAAGACCCTCCATGGCCTTTCCCCCTCCTACATCTCTGACCTGCTGACCCCCTATCAACCTGTCTGCTTCATCCGTTCAGCGGGCTTCAGCCTACTCCATGTCTCCCGCCCAACCTGCCCTACCATCGCCGGCCGGGCTTTCAACCTCTCTGCCCCCACCCACCCACTGGAACTCCATCCCACAATCCTCTCGCCTTGCTCCCTCCCTTGTCTCCTTCAAGGCACGACTCAAGGCCCTTCTTTTCAACCGTGCTTTCAGCCACCCTCATACCTCTCAAATGTAATTTTTTTTGTTGTTTATTGTTGCTCTGGGCTAGTATGAGCTTGATCCCTGTCCCTCTGCTCCGAACACCTGCTCATAATGGGCGATTTCAACTTCCACCTAAACTCCCCTTGCACTACTTCTGCCGACTTCACTGCC